TAAATGTTTTTCAAACATAGTATTTTTATATGTCTTTGTGATATAAAAAGAACACTTAAAATCCATATAATTTAGCCTTAGACTAGTATGAAACTGTGAAGTCAACGATATCCATAGAAATTAATAGAAATTGCTTTTTCCAACAACTTTAATTGAAAAACTGAATATACGAACATCGTTAATAGTGAAAATTTTCATTTCACCTCAACTTGTAAATATGCTTGATGTGGTATTGTATCTATAAAGTTTTTAATTTATGCACTGTTTAAAACAAAGTCAATTTATTCACCCTTTTCTCTTTCTTAGTCAATTACACCACAGCTAGCATTAATTCAAATACTTAAACTTATGTTGATATTTTAGTGATAAGACTTCCGTTCTGGTTAGTGACGTTCAGATTCTTTTGCATGATATGACAGAAACCTGAATAACTCTGATGATACAAGCCAGTGTTACTCAAGAAATCAAATAATTTTAATAATAACAACGATGAAAACAGTCGGATGGATAAGCATTACTCCATGATTTCAGCAGTAGCCAAAAACATCACTACATATGCACGAGGGAATCACGAAAATTATTATACCACCGTATTGCACTAAAGCAGAAACCTATCACGAAAGAACTTTCTGTGGAAAGTCACAAGGTCTTACAAAATTAAGGTTAACAAGTATTATTAAATCGAAAGTTGTGATTATTTTTCACTAGTGAACTAAACGACTTTATGCATGAGCCACACAAAATTAAGTTTGTAAAACATTTTGTTAATTTATTTATATAAGTCGTTGCATGTGTGGAAGACTAAGAGCAAACAAATTGAAATGATTTCAGGATGTTTATTTTCCTTACTTTGCCAGAGTTTGTCAAGGAAGCTTACTTCATGAAATAATCGAGTAATTTAAGGTATATGCATCATTTTAAATTAGGAATTTTGATATTTTATCTAAATATGACGATTTAAACGGAAAGGTATGTGAATCTAAAGTGTCTAAGGGAAAAATAATCGCAAACGACAGTAAGTATAAGCCATGCGAAATCAGAGAGAAACGTTTACTCATTCATGATGCTGCCTACCACTCATTCAGTCAGTCTTAACTAGCCACTTTAAACAATTGATTATCAGCATTCAACATCATTAATTGAGGAATAAGTTGAACCCCAAGAAGGAATTCCTTACTGTTATTAGTGAATAAATGGTGACTACATTAACATGAACTTTGAAAAGAAACGCATGGATTTTTAAAAAAATGAAGCGAATTCTCAGTGTTTTAAAATTAACAGGTCAACTTAGCTGGTTTGTTTATGAAAGAAACTAAATTGATAGGTACTATTGGTTCGAATATTAATTTATTTTTTAATCGAATTTAATCCACTCATAAAATAATAAACATTTAAAACAAGAAACAGTATATCTCTTCTGAGTTGTATGAACAAAGAATAACATAATATTTGGGCATATATAAGAAAGTTTCATCAATATCTTGTAGTGTCAGTTATTATTTTAAGCCCATATATCTTATTCTGGCTTTCGGACAGGCCAATCTATTCATTCTACTTGAGTCATATGTTGACCTTTTTATTTATTCGCTTACTAGTCGTCATTGTTTTTATATGAGTGAATACGTGTGTACACTTCCCATCCCATTCTTCACATGTACGTAGCTTATTTTTGTCTGCCTATAAATATTGGCTAACGCCTGACTAAAAATGAGTTGGCTTACCAGCCATCTCCACTCTGCATCGCTTCTCTTCCTGCTATTCCATTCACCTTATATACAAAATATATGTATTCAAAATCCCATTCTCGTTATTTGACTTATTTAATTCCGTCATTGACTAACGTCATTGAAGTCGACGATGATATACGAGAATCGGCGATAGCAAACATCCATACGATCTAAATAGGAGTCAGATCCACGGGCCACTAAAATCTATTGTAAATTAATTTTAAAAGCAAAGGAAATTACCTTAGAGTTGAAATCTTTATTTTATTTTCAATATGACTTCTGAATTATTTTTGTTATCCTTGCAAAATTCCTGGTTTTAAACTGATTAACTTACACGCATAACCAAATAATCTAAACTTCTTTAAAATTATCACCCATTGACTTAGTTCCCTTTTAACCAGTTTCTTTTATTTAATCATATCAAATTGTCAAAATATCTTGATTGGAAAAGAGCCCATAACAAGACCATTGTGTCAATAAAATGAAAATGAACTAAATCAATGGTTGTCCTTGGTAACATCTAGAAGATAGGCATCACAAAAGTGAGTGAATGAACTTTCTATGTTAATGATATATCTAATGAGCAGAGTAATTAAAAAAGAAATTTACCTAAGAAAACTTAATCATGTAAACTTTATGTGTCTAAGTTAATATTACTTAAATTAGTTTTCCATAATTAAATACAATTATGATAAAATTAATAATAATGTTGTTATTTTGACATTTTATGTTAAACTTTTAAACTATAACTCTTATAATAAGTTAGTTTGAAAAAAAGAACATCAATTTCAACTTCATTGTTTAATAATCAACAGTGAAAAAGGGAGAGCGAATAATGACATGATCCTGAGTTCAGTCGTTAAATTACTTAAGTATTTAAAATTAATTTGAAGTATAATCGGAAAATTATTCTCCAGTGTAATAAGATATTAATAAATTGTTTCTGGTGTGTTCAAATTTAAGAGTATAGTGAACGATATGTAAATCTATAGCGGTTTAAAGATTATAAATATGGTCAATAAGCTTGTTCTATACGATATGTTATATTAGTTTCAGATCCAACCGACCATATAGTATGGTAGGAGAATATTCATTGTCATAAGGTAATTTGCATAAAAAATCTCTACCAAAAAGTCACAGCCTTACAAACACATGTAGAGTACCTCCTTGTATTTTTAAAAAAATATTTTGCTACTAGTTTCCTATTTGAATCTTTAATGCTCTTAACATTGAGTTGCTTAAGGTCATTTATTTATCTTATTCAGAGCAAAATTATTTGCACGAAAAATCATCAAATAGAAAATGAATGTTATTTTATATGAGTGTAACAGTGAAAAAATTCAATACAACCTTAATTCATATAACCTGATAATCCACAACGATAAGAAAAAGCCTCAGTACACAATAATGAAATGTGTATTACACCATCTAGTGGCAACAATTGGCAGTTGTTTAGTTCTTTACAATCGTTACTTTATTTCTTTTCAATAATGCTTTCAACGTAAAATGATAGATAAATCCTGTTCCATACATAAAAGTCAGCATAGATATCAATAAAATAGTAAACAATATTTAAAGTATATCACATGGACAAGTGATTAAAAAAACATTTGAAAAGTTTTGGTTACAATGTATAGTAGGTTTCCGTAAAATGTTAAACGTGATGTTAAAATAATACTTTCCATTTGAAATACTTTACAGTTTTAATTTGATTCTCATATTTAATAGCATTTACTTTTAAAGTATAACAGTTTTACACTAATTAACAAGTGGAAATATGTATAAACTTATCCAAATGATGTAAATTATCAAATGAAGCAAAAAATCAAGAAAAGGACAAATAATGGGAAACATGATTTATGTATTCAATTAATTTTAAACAGGAACAAATATTTGGTGATTGACATGTTCTCATTCATTCAGTTATATATTTGTTTCCATAATATTTCAACACAATTGAATTGATGAGTGTCATGATGTGAAAAAACTAAAGAAAACTTATTATTTTATGATAAGCATCTGTTATCCAATGAATAATTGAATACTGCTATTTCAATCAGACACTAAGTTCATAAATGACAACTTTCATTCGGTATCAACAAGCTAATAGCTCGATATTCTGATGTTTATTCTATTAAGACTGGAGTATCAGTTCCATAGACAGAATATCAGTTCAACCATCTCAATTATTTCATTAGACTATCAAATACATTGAGTCATTATTTTAAATGTATATTGTCAGCCATCACGACGTCTCCGACTATACGTTTTTGCAACTTGTACAGCGAAAGGTTGTAAACTTTCCACAAACACATCTGAATAGGTTACACAATTAAATGACATAATGATCTGTTAAAACAAATAAGGAAATAGATAAATTGTTGAAATATCTAGATGGTAGGAACAGGTAGCCCAGATATTCAAGCAGGTCGCCTAAGTGTCGGGTGATGTAACACTATCTGTTGCAACAAACAGACATAGAAAATCACAGTTATTACCTTTCCTCTAACTCGTATACAACAATAGGGAGCTGATTTGTTATCTCCTAGATGTTCATACTACATTGTATTGTATAAAAGTGATTACAAACTAATTTTTCAATACTTCAAGATGCAACTAATTAAAGTATTTGTTCTCATCTATATTATGAAGTTTGATGGACAGTATTGCCATTTTCAAAAATATGATTAGGAGACTCGTACATAAAGTTTCTGACATTTATTTTACCACTGCTCATAATGAATTTTCTGCAACTTGACAGAATGTTTTGTCATTGACATTTAATTGTATGCTAAGATGTCCGACATCATGACTGAATATATATTCAAACATACACTTTTACAACCAAATCATGTAAATCCAAAAAGCAATCGTTGTATGACCAGATATATTAAACAATCAGATAATGGCAAACAGACATGTACGTTTGGTTTTTGTTATCCACATCTTATTTTAACCAGTGCGATTCTCGAATTCCACCGCTTGAAATCCGGTGTGTTTCTTGTGAACTGGAACATCATGAGGTCTACCATGGCAGTCTTTTTGTTAAATAACACGGTAGTAAATTTAAACAATCAGTTGAAAACCAATTGCTTATTTCATAAGTACTATTCTTCCCGACAGGCAACTGGCTTGTGGAAGTAATGATGTTCGTTTATCCTTGATTTGAAAAAAAAAAAATTATTCAATCAAACAATTCAGCGAGTTGATTTTAGCATTACCACACACAAATGTAAACCTGAAATGTACAGAAAACTAAAACACATTAGACCGCTGCTCTCACTTACTTCAAGCATTCGGCTATTTCCGAATGTCAAAGCAAGCCCTTCCTTTCATGACAACTCTTAACATTTCACAACTTATAATGCTTATAATAATAAGAAAAGTTCAGTCAACCACACAACCAGTTGGGCAAGCTCATTAAGTAAAATTTATTTGTACGGTTAACTAATAAAAACCTAATCATTTCCTACAATGACAAGTTTCCCTTTAAAAGTTGGACAATAAACAAACACTAATTTAAAAGAGACTACGAATAACCCAATATAATGTAAACACCTATTCACTGATAAAACTAGCTTACTCTCTATATTAATCAAGAAAAATTATTTGTTTATATAACTCCTTTGTAATTTATTTTAGGATACTTGATTATGTATGAAAATAAAAATGATAGCACCCATGGAAAAAATAATCTTTCATCTGATTAGGTTGAAAACCATAAGTCCAAGAATTTGATTTTATTAAACACACAAGATCGAACAAATACTAACATCAAGTCCTTTTTAAAAAGTTTTTCCCTGAGCAAATGATCAAGTCTTTAGATAGAGTATAGCAGAATATACTATTTACAATACGTATTTAAAGTCATACAAAAACTGAGGGTTTTTAATCTGAATTTGTAAAGCTGTTTGGTTAAATTTTAAAGTCCAACTCAAAACTAAGTTTCTTAATCACTCCAATCGGGGTCTATTGCATTTGTTGGACACTTCAATGTTGATGCAAAATGAGATATCTTACTAGACTTCTGTGGACTATTCGTGCTTGTCTGAGATTCTGACTGATCTGTTTCATCTACATCTGGAACACACTGAGGAATAAAAGTAAAAATATGAAATAGTTTATCAGTAAACAGTTTAGAAAGTTGCTGCGATAAAACAGAGAAGTGAAACACACGATGTGCAAAAATAATTGGGATACTGCAACGGACGTCAAGGGCATTTTAGCCAAACTTCTGAAAACCAACACACGATAGAATTCAAGTACTGCGCATCTCCAAAAATATGAACTATTGGGCTGCAAACTACTGCATAGTTTATGAAGCACATGAAGTGAAATGCATTGACAAAACTAACAATCGATAACAGATGCTTCTAACAACCAGTTTTCCTTCGTACTGAAAACATACCTATGTGATAGGAATTATATATATAAAGTGAGATGACCTCCTTAAGCTGAAGGAAATTTCTTATAGGTATATTTTTTAAAACCAAACTAAATTTCCCATTATGAACTATTCTCGTTCACTTATTTTTATATGTCTTTTTGTTTCGACTATACTCTCCCTCTTTCATCTGCCTCTTCACAATTTCACTTTCTTATTTGTGTGGCGCATAATTGTTTTCGTATATATTTTGTACTGGTATTTGTTTTCAATAATAACAAAATTATTCAGACCAGTAATTAGTAAAATATCGTGTTTTTGTATTTTCTTATTCTTGTGTCTCCTCAATCGATATAAGTCAACAACTGCACGATTACCACACTTTTTGTTCTTTTTCACATGTGGTCAATAATTTTGAACTAGCCTTCCATCTTAAACTTGCATTTCACATCTCTTGTTAGAGTAATTAGGTTTTTGACAATGATCAGATTTTAATCAGACTGAAACCACTTTCCATGCTTTAAGATAAAGTACGAACCTTTTTATTACTACATTGCTCAGTTGCTGTTAAATGACCAAACACGGATTTATAATACATGTAGAGTATGGTGATTCATCTGTATCTGAAAACAAAATGATAACCGGAGCAAATGTTCGTAACTTTCTTCCAAACTGGAAACGAGTTACCACTTTATCTCGTATTTTTTAAATTATTACACTTAGCATTGATTGTAAATAGAAAGTACTGATACTCAACTGATTATAAACATTCGATGAAATAGAATAATAGATTACATGCATAGTTGTAGCACAATATTAAAATGCCACTGAAAATTATTTAATTTCTATTACTTATTATTTATTTGAAAAAGGTTGTATTTTGATGGACAAAAGTTGTTTCTGAATGAAGTTATTGTCATTACCGCGTATTGTCAAGTGAATGGTAAAGTAATCAAAATGATAGCGAATTGTTCCTGGTTGTGTATTTTCAAAAAGTGGCTAGGAGTAGAGTCCAGGACTGACGTTCTTTTCCATTTAGAACCTGTCAAACAGACGCACTTAGATAACAGTTTTTGTGTTCTTACTGAAACTTGAATTTACTCCTCACTAAAGTTTGACACCAAAGCATCGAACAAGTAATGGCATTTTTGACTGATTAGCTTAGTGCATAACACTACCCAATGATCTGTAGATTTAAGTTTTAGTGGGATGAATAGGATTGGTTCAAGTCTTCCCACTCATTCGCCAAGCATATATCTATGTATTCTATTTCTTTGCGGGATTATTATTTTAACACATAGATATTGTTACAAGGAGGCACTAAATACATATGCGCCACACAAATATCATTCGATATGTGTGACGGCTGTAATACTGCCCGGGTGCCCAAACCGAAACAGGTGGTTTTCTTAGGGGGCCACTCCCCGAGCCTTCGACCTGAAGGTCTGATCCACAAGGCAGTGGAGCATCGTAAGGAGATGCAGTCCCATGGAAGCCGTTGACCAACGATTGGTTCATACGCCATTTGTTCCCGCAGGATACTGGAGCCCATGTGCACCACTGGTTTGGAATCCGGTTAAAGCGCCGAACATTCGCTTTTCATTCTCTCATTTTCGTAAACAACACCCCCGCCACGAGAAGGAAGTGAGTAGGACTTCCCCGGCAGAGGCTATATACGCGTGGCCATGTGATAGCATTTCGAGAGGGAGAGCGGACTCTCCCCACTCTCGGCTGTACTATGGCATTTGGGGGTTCTTTGCGGGAACATCCAGCTGACAAGTCCCCAAAAAAACAAATAGCAATCTGAATTTCTCTGCTAATCATGGTCATAAACATGATCAAAATCTATATTAAATCCTTATTGAAACATCAAAGACATGTATATGTTGACGAGACTGAATAATTGAATCTTAGTAATTGACAACAGACAAGTACACATGGATGCAGCGAATAAAAATTAAGTTTTTAAGAAATCAATAAGGATAAAGATTGTTTATATTTTTCAAAAGCGTAAAACATTTGAATTTTCGAGCTGATAATAATCCGACCATGCAAAATAAATCATAACTCCTACTTGTTTCGATTTTATTGTAATACATTTCAATTCGTATCATAACTTGTATGTGTAATTAGTGGGATCGCACATTTTCGAACAATATGGTAGTCCATTTCGTACATCAGTGCATTTCAAGGGTTGTGATCAGAACTGAATATGAAAGTGTACTCTGAATCATGATGATTTTCAAGTGACGTGACTATGGCAACATGCATATTTTTTATTCACGTGATAATTGAACGTGCTCATTAGTAATTAAGCTAAGACTTGGGGATCAGTATACCGTAATGCAATAACTAAAAATTACCTAGTTATAAGATCTATGAATAATACGCAATATTAATCTTCAGTTTAAAGGTAATTGCTGTCTCACTTTCATGTTTTATATATATATATATTATTGAAAACAAATACCAGTACAAAATATATACGAAAACAATTATGCGCCACACAAATAAGAAAGTGAAATTGTGAAGAGGCAGATGAAAGAGGGAGAGTATAGTCGAAACAAAAAGACATATAAAAATAAGTGAACGAGAATAGTTCATAATGGGAAATTTAGTTTGGTTTTAAAAAATATACCTATAAGAAATTTCCTTCAGCTTAAGGAGGTCATCTCACTTTTACGAAGAGGAAACTGCAGGAAGACTTCATTGACTTCCCTTCCAGCACGCGTACGATAATTTCCCCAACCTCTGAGTTATACTAACTCTTGAACACTAACAAAAAAGTCATGATGGAGAGACAGATACCAGCCCTATACAACTCTTCACTTTTTCTACCCAGTCACACAGACCACAAATAACACACCAGTGGGAGATAGCTAAGGTGACATCCGTAACGCGTGTCCAAGGCACCAGTCGGTGTTTCCAGATGGTGACAGAAACTGAATGTTAGTCACTACACCCGAACACATTAACGAACTTCGGGATTTCGAACACGGGGTTGAAACTAGACTTCAACAATCCTTCGGAGACAATGATCACCAAACATATAACTGCCAAACACCTCAACTCAGTGACCATGGCTCAAAAGCAAGGAACAAGATTGCTTCAACCGATAAGTTGTAAACCCGATGTTTTACATCCAGGTTAACATTGTGACAGTGCTGATGATAAACCAGATTGTCATAAGCTCGTCTCAATTTACGTAAACTGGTCTTATCAGCTACGCCATCACCAGAACTTAAACAGCTACCCAAATACACGAACTTCTCGCCTACTCCTAACGTCTCACTGCAAAGAGTGAGTGAAGTCACAGAATCCCGAGTTTTCTAAAAGCACTTTTTATTTAGAAGGTACAAAGTACATGCCATACGTACGAACAGTGACTGCCAACTTATTAAGTAATCTGTATAGCTTGAGTATTATTGCACGGTAAGGCAATGGCCATTCACATACTTCAGATAGGAAAGTCTTTCTCCGGGTAAAAGGTCGATACCACCATTACTTCTGTTACAGTTGTTTCAGGACAATCATTGATGGCAAAGTCGAGGAGAAATGGTGTGACAGAGCAGCTCCCCTTAGCCACCACTTCTAATAAGAACGGAGAAAGGTGGTTGTACGCCCTCACATTGCCCGAAATGTTTGTGCACAAAGCCTTCAATATTTTGATAAAGTTCGCAGATACACCCTTCTGCAACAGAAAATGACAGGGGAGAGCCCCGTACGACGAATAAAAGATGTCTTTGATGTCATGGTGCTCTGACATTCGGCGGAGAGTGATCAATACATATAAGGCCAGAACGAAGACCAGTCTACTTTTAACGAGTCAATCTGTCATAGGTTTTGAAAAGCAAGTGAAGTATGGAGGAATACCATACAACTGAAGACTTTGTTAAGTGAAGAACGTAAAATAGCCTAAAAACGGCAGTTGGGAGCTTTAGGTGATATAAGTTCAAATTATATGCCTTGGCTAAAGTAGATCTACTTCATATGTGACAGTGAAAGTTTTTACCTTATTTTAACTTAATAAGATTCAACTTCAATTTTTTTGCCGATCTTAGCTTTTCTGATTCTTATTTGATGGGATATAGTAAAGCATGGAGACTGTCTGATACACGTAAGTTGCAAACTAAAATACGAACAAACTACATAGATATCAATAATTTTTAAAGAAAATCTTACGAAAAACTCGACAAAAGCAACTTCACCGTCTGAAAGATTTATCATGTACTGGATCGACAGGAATCCCCGGTCATTGATACGCAGCGAAATACGGCTAGCCATTGACAGTGCTCGGCTTGTTGCAAGCCGTAGAAGCGAAAGACGAAATCGAGCTATCCGAGGGCTTGCAGCTGCAGATTCAAAAACTTCTACTTGATCAGATGACCGAGGTAAGTCAAAATGCATAGTTCCAGCGAAACCATACGTCGTTAAACGAAGACGAGACTGAACAGCCGGAGGTGGTATTACAGCAACTTCCAAGACTTCGCTTGAAGTATCAAGTTCATTGAACGCTTCACGCATACATTCTGACTGTAAGAAGTGAGAAGAGAATAAGGAAAAAATAGTATACTAATCTACGGGGTTAGTGTAACATTGACTGATCTTTCTTTGAAGTTAACAGCAGGCCAGAAAAGGACAAGATCTTTTTTGTACGCTAAGTTATGATTAGTTGGGGATGTAGCCCAGTGGTAGAGCGCTCACTTAGCTTGCGAGAGGGCTCGGGATCGATGTCCGGCACTTCCATAATGCAACAACCAGTTGCCACACATTTGCCCTTGCTTCGATCTGGGCACCCGGGCAATATCACAGCCCACACACAAATGATGAACTGTCTATAATTATGGAAACTACTTTTCTTGCTTCAATTAACAATCAAATAATTCAAATTATTATTATTACTATTATTTTTATTATTATTACTATTATTATTATTCAGTCAGTCAGCTACAACGTAGGATCAAGCACATTTATGCATCGGTCCAAGTTGCCATACCTCATTAACACAACAAGATGGACACCGGATTCATAAAAGTAGCTAATTCGGAGGTGGTAATATATAAAAGAAAGATTGCAATAAGGATACAGTACAGCAAGAAAGAATTAGTTCGTAGAAAGAAAGACATGAAGCAATTTTAATCTTGCAGTTTAAGGGAAGACAGAGAGTGTATACACCGACGCCATTGTGATCGATTCTGAGCAATGTCACCAAGAGTCTCCAACAATTGGTTACGACAATCACGCGGACCCCAATCAAGTAGTCTGCATCTACCAACATGGCTCGGACTAGGAGTTAGTGACTTCAAGCACTGATGCCACGTTTTGGTTTGGCCGCCCCTAACTTTCTTCCAACCATCCCGAACACCGGTTAGCATTGCACGTCGTGGTAATCGGTGTTCAGGCATACGTAACACGTGGCCCAACCATCTCAGTCGATGAAGATTAACAACCTCATCAACTGATTTACCATCCTTCCCTAACACCCTGCGTCTAACCTCGCTATTACTTACCCGGTGATCCCAGCAGACGCCAGCAATATTTCTAAGGCATCTGTGGTCAAATACTAATAGCTTACGAGTGTCTTCTACTCTTAATGGCGATGTTTCGCTGCCGTAAATTAAAACAGAACGGACTGCCGCGCAGTATACTCGTTCTTTTATTGATAGACGGATATCTCGCCTTCAGAATAAGTGACGTAAGTCTGCAAAAGCCAAAAGAGCTTTTCGAATCCGTGCTGAGATTTTATCAGACACCAACCCATTAGGGTTGATCAGACTTCCAAGATAAGTGAAGTTGTCAACACGTTCGACTACTTCACTCCCTATCCTTAGTTCAGGTGTTGACGCAGACCAGTCCTGAAGCAACAACTTGCATTTAGAGGGAGAGAAGCACATTCCAAACATTCTGGCATTGTTGCTCAGTGCTACCAAAAGACTCTGCATTCTATAAGTGTCTTCACCAAACAGGACTATATCATCTGCGTATTCTAAGTCGATAAGTGGACCTCCTGGTAGGAGATCAATACCCGAGAATTCAGTCTATGAGAGCGTTATTTCCATCAGTAGGTCCATGATAAAGTTAAACAAAAATGGAGAAAGTGGACAGCCTTGACGGATACCACTTGAGGTTGCAAAAGCAGATGACAGTTCGCCATAAGCTCTGACTCGACTAGTAGTGTTCGAGTAAAGAGCCTTCAAAAGGTTTATGTACTTCTGAGGTAAATCTTTCAATAACAAACACTGCCACAGAACCTCTCGGTCAACAGAGTCAAATCCTGCTTTCAAGTCAAGAAAGACCACCATTGTCGGACGCCGATAAGTATGCCTGTGTTCTAGAACCTGACGGATGGTGAATATGTGGTCGATGCAGCCGCGACCAGGTCTGAAGCCAGCTTGATTTTCTCGTGCTTGCAGTTCACGAGTTTTAGTTAGGCGTCCAATAATTATTGACGCTAGTATTTTAGATACTGTATTAGTTAAACTAATCCCTCTGTGGTTGTCACAGGATGATTTTGACCCCTCTTATATATTGGGACGATAAGTGATTGTGACCAGTCAGATGGAATAACGTCTAACTCCCAGATCTTAGCTAAAATATTAGTCAACCTAATCGCTAAAATTGGACCACCATCCTTAAAGACCTCTGGAGCCAATCCATCTGAACCAGCTGCCTTTCCTCGTTTCAGATTAAATATAGCCTTTTGAACTTCAGCAAGAGTTGGGGGACCTACTTCAATGTTCCATTCACACTGTCTGGGAATGGTGGGTAGTTGTAGAGTAGCTGAAGGCCAGCTGAACTGTTCTCTGAAATGTTCCGCCCATCGTTCTAAACGTCTAAACTGGGAGCAGATAAGAATGTCGTCTTTTTCCGAGATAGTCTCACTCACATTTGACTTATTAATTCCATTTTTTTTACTAGTCTGTAGAGCTGTCTTGTGCTCCCTATAGCAGCCGCCTTTTTCATTTCTTTTGCTTTTGTTGCCCACCACTGCTCACGGCCGTTCCCTAGACTTTTGCTTAATCTAGATCTGATTTGTTGTCGCTCTTCATCGTGTTCAGAGCCCGATGGGATGAGTTTACGAGATTCCATCAGTGCAGTAGACCTAGAGGAAATCCATTGGTTCTTTGTAACTCTGTGGTTTAAATCACTGATATATGTCACTGTTGTTTCCATAACTGTTTGTATAGCTTTCCAAGCAACATCTGGGTCAGCCTCGTTTTTATAACTACCTAAGTGTGACCTCAGTTTTCCCTGGAACCTACTTCTGGTTTTCTCGTTACTCAATTTTTGCTTCCAGTGAGGCGCAAGCAGATGCGTGCCCGTATTAGGGCGTGGTCAGAGTCCAAGCAGGTACTCCAGAATGAGCGACAATCTTCTACCGACCCTCTCCAACGATGACTGATGGCAATATGGTCTATTTGAGTCCATCGTTGGTTTGGTGTAGGGGGTCGCCATGTTAGACGATGTCTCTCCTTATGCTTAAAATTTGTGTTTGCTAAAAATAAGCGATTGTCTGAGCACAGTTGCAGCAGACGGTCACCATTATCTGTTCGCTGTGCCGGAATACTAAAATACCCACCTAAATGCCTTTCTGTTTGGTTTAAACTACCTATCTGAGCATTAAAGTCACCTGCTACGAGTACTATGTCTGAACGTTTAGCTTTCTGTAAAATTATTATTATTATTACTGTTATTATTTACTACATCATTATTCACCCTCTTTTATTCCTACTCTGTCTATACTTATTTTTTCGACTTATACAGCAGCTCGTCTATGGTGGAAATCCAACTCTATCTAAACGATCTCGAGTCACTGTCCGGTTGGAAATTGTATGTTACCACCGAATATAAGTACTGAAGTAGTTTTTCTGAAACCACGTGCACCATTCAAACTGGCTGCCTTCAACGTTCGCACACTTATGCAGGTTGGACAACAGATAGGGCTGGCTATGTCTTTAGAAAGTCTTAATATCGATGTTTGCCGTCTATCCCAGACCCGTATTTAAGACTCTGGTGAAGTACTACAAATTCGCTCTCCATCTGTCGCTTCGAAAAGCTTGTTTTATGTGCCCTAAGCGCTAGAGCTGAGGCAGCACTAATCGATTGAATCCCCATTAACAGTCGGTCATGTGCTGTTAGAATACAAAGTTCCATCAAAGTGAGAAGAAATCAGCAAGAGAGACTATGTCTTTCCGTCATCTCCACCTATGCCCCGACAGATTGCAGTCCGGATGCAATCAAGGATTAGTTTTACCACCAGTTATCTGTTCTCCTACAGAAGGTGCGTTCGACAGATATTCTAGTACTAGCCGGAGACTTGAATGCTCAGGTCGGACGTCTAGGCACAGAAGAGAGTCGTTTAGGTGGCCGATGAGGACTTGTTGGTCGCAGGACAGATAACGAGGACCGTCTACTGCAACTGTGCACAGACCACAACCTGTTTCTGGCTAGCACTAACTTTCGGCACAGTTATCGCCGATGATCCATCTGGCGTCCTCCCTCTGCATCTCAAGCCTGAACTCAGATTGATCACATCGCGATCAGCTACCGCTGGCGTGGTTGTGTACAAGACTGCCGCTCCTTTTGGAGTACCTATCTGGACTCTGACGATGTCTTGGTCTGCGCCAATCTTACCTTACTTTTCGGTGGACAACGAAGTGACCGCCATCAACGGATTGATGTTAGCAAGATGGTTGCAACTTTTGTTGCAAGAAGTATCGAACCGAGCTAGTTTCTAGGCTAGCTACCATTCCACCGAAAAGTATAGATGAGCATTAATTGCAATTGCAAGACGCCATGAGAATGGCGGGTACAGTCAGTTGTGGGTTCGCGAAACGTCCCGCTTATAAGCACTGGGTTTCTTCGGGTTCTTTACAACTGATTGGAGCCTGTCGGTCTACTCCGGATGACCATGAGTTTAACCCCAAACGAAGGATTTTACGCAATGAAATTGGGGAAAGCTTGCGTAAGGACCGAGAAGCCTGGTAGTCGGAGCGTGCTAATGAGCTGGAAGCAGCAGCTGCATCTGGTAATTACCAGAAGCTCTTCCAACTCATCCGAGCCACTGGCAGCAAGAAGTCTGGTATGAACGAAACAATCTACGAGGATGACGGGATGCCAATCACTAACATCCATCGAAGTCTTGGACGATGGGCAGAATTTTTCTAAGGGCAGTTCAACTGGCCTGCTGCTGCGGTAACATCGGTTAGACTGTCCTGCCATCCATGGCCGGTGACGACTGATCCACCAAATGAGGTGGAAGTCCGTAAGGAACTCCAACTATTGAAGCGCTACAAATCAAGCGAGTTGGTTGGGGATGGGCCTAGATACCACCAACTATGGCGCTTTATGATAACTAGAAGGGAATTATATTGAGGGGAGTTTATGAGTGTCCAGGTCAGAACATCTCAACAGTCTATGAGACCATTAATTGTTGGTTTGGGCTATGTTCGAAGTTACATGCTTTTGAGATAAGGTCCTCAAAGTAACTATAACCTACGACATGGTGTTACTCCAAGTTCTTCACTTCGAAACTTCACTAGTCACATTCTAGGTTTTGCATCGTTCTCATTTTCTACCACCGTATGTAGGATTTCTATTTCTTGTTGATCCCCACTAAGCGCACTTACATTAACACATGTGCTAATGTAAGGTACAAAATTTTGGTATACATTTGTATCAGGCATTACATCTTTTATATACGTTAAAAATGACAGATGACTAGTATTTATAACATCGATAACATAACATATCATAGGCATAACAGTTAGCTTGGGACTAACCTTCATTATGAATTTATCTGAGATATTACTGCTTGAAAAATCAAAGTCCAATATTTCAAACGCCTCCATAGTTTTAATGTTGCATTCTGCTACAACTCCGTTTTCTTCTAGTCTGTATACAAATAATAATTTAAAAGTAATTTACAAAATGCTTAAAGCACTCCCGTGAGTTTTATAGGATAAAATGAATGAAACTGATGGTCCTTGAACTGAAGTCCCAAAAATAGAAAGGCAGTCCTGAACGGCGTGAAGAAGTAATAGATTCTACTTACAACAAGCACACCAAGGTTTGTTCTAAACGATATTATATCCTTCTTTACAGAGTATTCACGGAAAAGCGCTGAATGCAGAAAAGCGTTTCCTTGAATGCATTTTGAGTCCTCTACTGTCACCTTAATACCATTATTTGTGGCAAATATTGTGGCAAGCTACACACCAAGGATGATGCAATTATCAAAACATACATCGCGAAAGTGCACTGCCTTTAATATATTGATGATTATTTTTGCATTATCCATTGCCAGATAGATAAGTGGTCCGTCCATCGTATTACTAGTACAGGTTTTTTCAATAACCGGAAGTTAACAGTGGATACAGTAAGGACAATTAGATCTATGGAAAAGAAAACAAACAAAATGTTGTAACCCATTTAAGCGAATAATGAACATTTCGACCAAAAGCACACAAAAAGTTACAAAATATAAGACACCGCATGACAATCTTTTTTTCCTTTGACTGCTTATTACACTGATGCAACTGAATTGTTGATACTTTAAACACTAGAGAATACACAGCCTAAGACTGACATAATGAGTGTTATGACACTGATTTAAGTGTTTTGATCCGTGGGACTGAGGCTTGTTGATAGATGACGCTTTGAATCCAATTAGCCTAAATAAGTACACACATTCTGAAGTTAATAACTGTTTCGCAATTCGCATCCCAAAAACATTTTTGCGTCCTTCATTTTCAAGTAAGCATAGATTTATAATACGCAACTGACAGGAATAAGCAGAGGATTTTCTAATTACTAAGCCTAAACCAATTTGTTCTGTCGGTAAGTCGAATTTCTGAACAGTAATTCTGGAGCATGTGAAGTATTTTAGTTCAAGTTATTTAAACTTAGGCATAGTTAACACCAGTACAAAAAAAATTTACAGCTTTAAACGTACTTCCATGTGTTGTCTGATAACCCATACTCACTGAGATCCCTGAAATCATAAATAGGTAATTCTACTACAAAGTTGGATGTGTTTCATTGCTTAATCACTAGGTTTGTAGATTCGAATACCAAAGATAGCACTAAGTACTACTGAAAAAGAATGTGATCATAACCAAATATGAATATATATGTATATATGGTTTTGAACCCCATCGTTAGCTACAATCTATATGGGGGAAAGTGATCAATTTAGTGAAAATGCTGAGAAAATTAAACAATTACATTGATCTGAGGATTCTCATTAAAATGAGATATCTGATTAGCCTTAATTAAAACCACTCACATATTGACAGGCGGAAATAATAAGGGTGCTAAGACCTCAGAATTTAAATTCTTATACTAATAGGAAATTCCTAGTTTATTCTGCGGGATTACATTATAACGAGCCACAACCCCAGCAAATATTGCCACATGGAAAATATATGCTAATTGTAATTCACCAGCCTGTCAACAGGCAGGAGATGAAAAAATGGTTATGGTCACGTGCATAGCGTAGCACAAGAACATAAATAGTAAAGAATGGATGTCAAAGCTTTGACATCTATTCAGAATCTTCAAATTTGACCATGTATTCGATTGACAATCAAAACAAAGCGATGTCTACGAAAGCATGGTTGTTTAGATGATCCTGGGTAGTAACTTCACAACCTCCGTTTATGGACAGACAGGTAGTGGTAAAAAATGAACGACGACTAGTGAACGATCTAACAAGCATTGTCATATGACAATGCGTAGAAAACATACTTACTGCCAGGAGTGATTTCATATGCTTTAAGCCACTTATCTGCCACTCTATAATCGAAAAGTACTAACTTTTTGACCATATATTTTTTCCAGAATTTTACAAAAGCTATAATTTGTTCTTTTAGCTAGAAATGTTCTGAATCCTGCAATATATGATCATGTGAGTTGTAAAGGTTCTATTAGTATCAAAAAAATCGAGGGAGGTTGTTTTCGAATAGAGATTATTTTAAATGTCATTGAGCAAAGACTAGTTACACGCCAAACTGCCTTTACCCTTAGGATGCTCAAGTCATTTGATTTTGCTCCATTTTCATAGTTACTGTCCATGTAAAGCAGATAAACGCACTTGCGAGTATAGAATTACCACATGTTAGGAAAGTGCTGTCAGTATATCTTGATAGACATGAGAATTTCAGAGAGGTGCGTAATGCTTGTAGCGGCAAATAAATCCCCAAAATAAATAGCTCTGTAAGTTTTTGACATTGGATGCTGATCACATTAGTTTTAATGGACTCAACGAGCTGAAGGTGCTCGGTCATACATCTGCACCAGATCATGAGTGGGAACGCTGTGCTCAACAACCCGTGCAATCGCTAGACAGATTAGATCAGACGATCCTCGATATATAAATAGCCCAACAAATATATCTTCGAACCTCCTCGCTTCTGTCTTTTGATTTCACTTGGTGGGTGCGAGTTATATTCGGTGTTGCTGGTTAAAGCATTTTCAAACTCTGAATACTTGTGGCATCTTCATTGGTGAGCCTAACGTGATCTGGTACACCAAATTGCAAACTGTGATTCTGTTAATTTTTGGGATTCTATATATCATTGCCTTATTTTAATTTTTGATACATTGTGATATTTGTTTTCCGTTATTTTCGATATATTTTTTTCACTCGTTCATTCTCGTACTTCATATTTCCCTATGGTTGAACAGACACCCAAAGTACTTAAGTTAAAGACTATGTCCCCATCTTCGTCCCAACCGATGCCCTTCTGGCCATACAACAACGAAGCCTGGTTTTACTACGCAGAAGCTGACTTCTACGCGCACGGCGTGATCGACACACGTGCACAATTCCTCGCAGTAGTCAAGACACTAACACGCGAATTCAACAGGTACGTAACACCTAGTATGTTTACTGGTGATGTTTCAGAACCCTACGAAACACTGAAACGTTCTATTCTTAAACGCGGGAACCTAACCGATAGACAAAGGTTAAAAGAACTCCTTAATAACATCGAACTGCAACGCGGTTCTGCGACGGACATATTGCAACGAAGGAGAGAGTTTATCGGCCAAAGAGCCTTTGTTGATGGCCTATTCAAACAACTCTTCTTATCCAAACTTCCTCAACAGATGCAAGCTGTGCTGGTCTCGTTTTAAAACAACGCTGGCTGCATCTGCCGACCGCATTTTAGAGATCACGCAATCTGATACCGAGGGTTTTTCAGTCAAAGAAAAGCCTCAAACGACCTAGAATGACGTTACGGAGTTATGTCATACACTTACACGTTATCTTAAATTTTGTAACGACCAAAAACGGTCACACACCCCACGAAGAGGCAATGCACGTGGGCGATCTGTCTCTAGACCACGAGAGACGGATAACCACGACTGTTGCTGGTATCATAACCAGTATGGAAAGTCCTCTAGAAATTGCAGAAAACCCTGCAGTCTCCCAAACTCAAAATATACCGGCACGGGAAACAATTCCGGAAACTTCCAAGCCGGCACGCGTTAACGGCAACCGTAGCCGTCTGTTGCGCTTCACAGATGTGACAACGAGGGTTCCCTACTTCGTCGATACTGGAGCAGAAGTTAGCGTTCTCCCAGCGAATTCTAACGACCGGCTTCACGAATCCGTTTTAAATCTACGGGCAGCTAACGGAAAGCCTATCGCCACATACCGTAAGAGGTACGTTTACCTTAACGTGGGTTTACGCAAACCCATACATTGGATCTTCGTTGTTGCAGATGTTTTCATGCCAATCATTGGTATGGACCTACAACAGCACCACAATTTAATCATCGATATGCGCGAACGGAGGCTAGTAGATGGAAACACTAATTTATCTGTTTGCGTAACTTCCTTTTCTGGTTCTAGATTATCTCCAGTCACAATTAAGCATACGATAGACCCAGTATATCAACCATTACTCGATAAGTATCCTGGCATTCAGCAAACGCAACCGAAATTACCGTGTGTAACCAGCAACGTTACACATAACATCACGACTACAGGGCCACCTGTATTATCTAAAGCACGACGACTAGCCCCCGAAAAGCTAAGGTTGGCGAAAGACGATTCCGATCACATGATAGACTTAGTAATCATACGACCGTCAAATAGCCTATATGCATCTTCGTTGCACATGGTCTTTAAAAAGGACAGCAACGATTGGCGTCCAACTGGTGACTATTGGCGACTGAATGCAGAAAAAATCATTCCCGATCGTTACCTGTTGCCTCACATTCACGAATTGACAGCTACCTTTACAGGTACAACTGTCTTTTCGAAAATCGACTTGGTTAAAGCACATAACCAAATCACTATGGCTACTGACGATATTCCGAAAACAACTATCATAACTCCCTTCGGACTCTACGATTTTTTGCGAATGCCTTTCGGTCTAAGGAACACTGCTCAAACATTCCAAAGATTCATAGACGATGTCTTTCCAGGTCTTAACTTCGTACATGCGTATGATGACGACTATCTAATAGAAGTCCGGACAGTGAATCGCATCTCCAGCATCTGAATCTTGTTTTCGACCGACTAAAAAAACATGGCATTACTGTAAACATTCAGAAATGCGAAATCGGAACTGACTCATTAGACTTCCTAGGACACACTATAGATACGCAGGGCATTCGACCCCTTAGAATCAAAGTAGCGGCCATTCTGGATCACCCAAAACTAACCACCATCAAGCAATTACGCACATCTAACGGCCTCGTAAGTTTCTGTAGGCGAAATGTGGGTTTACTTATGAAACCTCTTACCGACCAACTTCGTGGAAATGCGAAATCCGTTAATTTGGACGACACAGCACGTAAAGCATTCTCCACAATTAAGGAACTCATCGCTAAAGCAACAATGCTTGCACATCAGGACACCCGAGCACCCATTAGTACCGCAGTAGACGCAACCGACTCAGCACTCGGAGCCTTACAACAAGAGGTTAACCACTCATGGCAACCTTTGGCATTCTTTTCAATACGGTTACTAGACACTGAGTCGAGGTACAGCACATTCGGTAGGGAACTCCTAGCTATGTATTGTGCTGTACGACATTTTCAACACTACATCGAAGGTCGTGAATTCACTCTTTTCACTGACCATAAACCGCTCACCTTCTCTAAGCTCTCCTTCAGACAAGTACTCTTGTAGTGGCATTGAACAATAACCGCACAATCCACAAAGCTGAACACGAGACTACTCAGAAAATAGATATTCAATATTTAACGCGGATAAATACCTAACGATGGAGAAGGCGCGAAGAATGAATTGAATGTACTGGAGTTGATCGAGTGGCATGGCTCGACCATGCAGGCGTGGTCCATCTCAATGTTACTTTATATCTTCTACTCATATTAAATATATTGTTCTTTCTCTAGCCTAACCTTGTTCTACAGCATGTATTGGTAATTGATACGATACAGTGAGTTGGCGTAGTCGATGGTGTGACTTCCACGTAAGATCTTATAGATTAGGCAGTTATATCATGACGAATCTACAAATTTAGGATTAGGTCTATTATTAGAGCAGTACTAATATCATAGTAGACCATAGTTCTACATTGGTGAGCCCGACTAAAAAACGCAACCTATAATTGTTAATCTTATTTCCATTCTAAATTTCTTGATCTATTTTGTATTTATGTTAACTCAATATTCTAACAGTCCTGATTAATGCTCACATGTATTATCGTAATGTTATATTGATTAGTTCTCATGACATACTAGCTTAGTCGATAATAAAAACTGGTCGTCTATATTAACTAATTAGCTTTGATGGTTCGTTAACAAGCTTTAATAGCATTTACATGCTTCAGCGACATAGACTTGTTTAAGCATCAAGCTCTAGCAAATATGACCTGTAAATAACGCAAATATACATTGACTAACAATGCAGCAAGGACTAAATAGTTACCTGGATCTAATATTCAGTGTTCCTTATCACCTCATCCTGTTTTAAACTATGCACTATCCTGTAATATTTTTTCTTCCGACCACTGCCTGCCTAATTTCAAATTTTTGAGTTCCATTGCCAAACAACAAGGATGACACTTATCTAAAAACATACGGTGAGTTCCAGCCATAAGTTTTCTGCAATCATAAGGTCATTTTAGATGGCTCGTTCAATGGTGACCGCACAATTATGTGGATTCATTCGGTTGTTCTGATCCGAGCGAGTGGCAAAAACGTCAACAGCACCAAGCACCCTGGAATTAATTGCCATACTGCATGTTTTATTCTGGATACTTTTGGATCATTACTACTCCTCACGAATGGCGTTATATATGTCGTCCACTGAATAATCTAATTTTCAAAAATAACCCAGGCGAGTTCAACTATTTTACTTAATGATTTCTTTTACTTAACGTGTATATGTTTTCCAGTTCCTTTTGCTATATATTTGTAAGTGTCCCTAGGCTAAATGCAGTAACTTCTTATGGAATGTTTATAACCCATCATATTCCTGCCTGAAGTTTCACAAGCAGTCTAAACTTTAAAATTATTTTCTGGTCATGTTCATTATTTTTAAATCGTCATATACGTCAACAACCTGCATGTTAACCTGGCCCATACATACGTTACACTATATCTCCATGTCTTCTAAATCTAGAAATCATCTGGATCGCCTTTAACATTTATCAATAAACCCATCATAGACGTTGCTAATCGTATTTGGGTTTATGGATTGGTGTATCATATTAGCAGCCTAAAATGCGAACATAGTTTAGATAATTAGATTGAAAATTAAGGTATTATCAACTGCACTAGTCAAATAACTAAATCCTAAAGTAGCTGTTGGCTAAACAAACGTTTAAAATCAAAACTCTTTAGCCTACTAGAATTAACACTAAACGAATCTTTCTGAATTAAAATTTATAATTAAATTAGGCGTCTCAGATTCTTTAACGTTACAAATTTCTGATAATCTCGAAACACAACAATACCTATTTTTCCACTGACTAATCCTCATTCAACACTATAACTAGTTAAACATAATAGTTTCAGGATATCGTCATAAAGCATTGTCATTACTTGACAATCACGTAATATGATTGATAAAATTAATGAAACTATT